CTGCCTTCCCCTCTCATTTTCTTGCATCTACGGTGCTGCTTGGTATGGGCTGTGCTCCAGCTGCCAAGGTGGCAGACGCTGTAAGCTTTTCTTTATCACTGGGATTCAGTGTCAGAGAGCTTGTTCCTGAGTGCAGGGAGAAGAGAGGGGTGTGGAAGGAAGAGTGTGGGTAGACTTGTTTAGCAAGAAATAAGTATTCATTTAATAGGAAGATGTGTTCTCCAGAAAAATGGACCCATGGGGATTATATTCTTCCTATTGTAATTTTTTTCTACTTCATTGTATAGAGAGAACTAACTGCCATCTCTTCATCCCTTCCATTCCTTCTTTACACCATTCCCCATTCCTTCTTGCAGGAGCATATGACAAGTGGTGCTAACTGCCAGACATTTACCTCTTCAACTGTCATCTCCTATTCCAACCTGGGTGATGGGCCCAAAGTCTATCAGGAGACCTCGGAGATGCGTTCAGCACCTGGTGGGGTAAGGAGGAGGCAGCTGGCTGCGCTGTGGGTGGGAAGGCTTTGTCTGGTGGCTCAGTGGTGCCCACCCACAGCACTTCTGCTTTCCAGTCAGTTGCAGCTTGAGGAGCACGTTGTGACTCTTGTGACTCACTGCACCATGCCGAGGGCCACTGGGAGGGGATGGAAAGTGCTGGCAGGGGAGGAGAATCCATTTTTCCCTTTCATTATGTTGCGTCTGACACCCTGGGAGTGGTGGCATTGCAAGGGGGCTGAAATACTGCAGGCAAGAATCAGGGTGCCTTACGGGGCTGGGAGAAGGAATGGAAATTGATTCTACATGGGAATCTACCCTCAGATCCGTGAGACTAGACGAACCGTAAGGGACTCGGACAGTGGCTTGGAACAAATGTCTATTGGACACCACATCAGGGAGAGGGCCCACATCATGCAGCGGTCCCGGAACCATCGCACAGGCGACCAGGAGGAGAGGCAGGACTACATCAACATGGATGAAAGTGAGTAGTACCCATGTCCTCCTCCCAGCAAGGCCAGGTGCTGCTTCCCCACCTCCTCCCCATTTGAGCTTGTTGCTTCCTTCCACAGGTGATGCAGCCGCATTTGACGATGAGTGGAGGCGAGAGACATCCCGTTTCCGGCCGCAGCGGGGGCTGGATTACCGGCGCCACGAGGGCAGCGCCGGCCGTCGTGCTGAGGGGACTCGTCTTGCCATCCAGGGCCCTGAGGATTCTCCCTCCAGACAGTCCCGTCGGTATGACTGGTGAACTTGGAGCAGACCTTGTGGGGGGTGCAGCGTGGCCACCCCCAAATCTACCTACGCGCTCTTGTAAGTCTTAAGTTCTTTTCCCTCATCTTCCGCTGCCTGGTTGCCTCTGAGACATAGGATTATTTTTTTTCTTTGCTGTGGTCTTCCATGATTTTGAAGTTTTGGCTAGAGTGGGTTTTCCCACTTTGAGAGAGGAGAGCAAGGTGTGAATTTGGAGAAAATACTGTGCTGAGCAGGAAGATGGAAGCTGTTTAAGTTACCTTTGTCATCAACAAAAGAGGTGTGGCATCAGCCTTAACTGATGGTTGAAATGACATGACAAGGTGTAGGATTGCAGCCTGTGGAGCGTTTGTACTGTCATTGTATAGGACTTGGAGACCATTTGCTGTCTGTCCAGTTTGAAATACAAGTAAGTGCTGGTGCCTGCTCTCCCATGTTTTGAATAGGGCTCACAAGGATGTGATCCAGTCCTTGAACAGGGATGTTTTGATACGTAGACATATCTAGCCTTTTTTTTTGATATCTAGACATAAGGTTTAAACATGTCTTTATCTGTCTTCTGGGCTGCTTTCTAGGAACCACTTACACTTTTTATGTTTTCTGTTTCCCTTCCTCCCAGGTACAGACAGTGAAACTCTGAAGCCCCTTCAAAGCACCACTTGGACCCTCCTCAGATTTAGTATTAACCTCCCTCCCACTTAAGAATTGAAACAAAGCAACTAATCTTCTGCATTGCTCTTTTTTTTGCCCCATTTGGGTGCTGCAGTGGGGCATGGGGAATCTCACTGATGTGCAAGGAACACATGAATTGCCCATTCCCCTTCTGCTGTCCCTTGGCTCTGTTCTTTCTGCCAGTAGTGGTGGGCATGAGGAGCTGCCACATTGCCTCTTCCATCCTTTCTACTCTCTCTGTGCTGGGCTGGTCTGGTTCTGAAGTTTGTGTTTAGTCCCCTGTGAAAGGAGTATGAGGGAATTCTGCTAGACCCCCCTGTCGGTCCCATGACTGGGACAGAGGCTTCGATTCCCCTCCTGCTCCTTGGTGCATCTGTGGAGAAGCAGAAGGATGTGTGGGTTAGAGAAGGGAGGAGCAGAGCAAAAGCTGGATCAGCCTATGGGCCCCCTCACCCCTCTTCAATCAGCTCCCCCACTTTTTTAATTTGTGAAACTTGTAACTAGATGTTTACTGAATAAAGAAACAAACTAAAGAATTGTTGGATCCGTCTTTACTTTCAGCCAGCCTAATTGTGCCTGCTGTGGAATTAAGTAACCTCTTTCACATCCTTGGGAAATTGCTGAGGAGAAACTTGGTGTTTAATTCTAAGGCTTTGTTTTCTTACTGAAAACAGCCTTATAGCCTTCCCACGTAGTTACAGAGTAAGGTGGTGCTCAACATGGAAATGGTGAAAGACGATCCAAGAGCACACCATTTGCAAAAAATGCCCTTTAATTGCTGTAGTTTTGCTGTGTGCTCAAGGGAAATTGGTTAGTCTTTCTTGCTGCCTGGTCATCTGTGCAGCCTTGAATTGTGCCTCTGGGGTTCCTGCACAGCCAGCGAATGTTTCCATTATTTTCTTACTATTCCACTGCAACTGAGGCTGACATTACGAATGACCTTTTCTTAACTTCTTCAGTATCAGGTGAAACTTGAGAGGCATTAGGAATACAGGACTAGGGAAGATCTCCTGGGTGCTTGGCCAGTTTCCTGCTCCAGCATGCACCCTTACACAAACCTTTTCATCAGCTCATTTGGAACAGAAGGCAGGAAATCGATGCATGACTTACACTTGGAAGTGGTGTGCCAGGATCTTGCTGTGTATTCCTGTGTTGTACATGTGGGCACTAAGAGAGTCACCTCACTGAGGACTGACTGTCGCGCTCTGAAAAAAAGGAAGCAGAATCCACCCTCTGAAAGCTTCAGACAGAGCTTGCATGTGTTCCACCCTTCAAGGAAGCACAGGGCAGAGCCCTAGCTGGTGGCAGACTCTGTCCCCACTTCCCCACATTGTTTTGTCCCATGGCAAACCCCAGTAGGAGTCAGAATAATAGAATGGGTTTGGGTTGGAAGGGACCTTAATCATCATCTAGTTCCAACCCTCCTGCCATGGGCAAGGGACACCTTCCCCTAGACTAGGTTGCTCAAAGCTCCATCCAACCTGGTCTCGAGTATTTCCACAGATGGGGCATCCACAGCTTCTCTGAGCAATGTATTCCAATGCCTCAGCACCCTCACAGTCAAGAATTTCTTCCCAACATCTAATCTAAACCTGCCCTCCTTCAGGTTAAGGTCCTCCTTGTCCTGTCACTACATGCCCTTGCAAAAAGTCTCCAGCTTTCAGTTTTTCTTCAGGTGATGACTCCACATCCAAATGCATCTGGGATAGTGAAAGGAGGGACCAGAGTTGAAACAGTGAAGTAAATGTTGGAGGGGAATAAGCCTGCTGCCCTTGGGAGTGGACTGACTTTCTGGAGGTGATGTAGTCAAGGTAGGCCTTGAAGAGAACAAGGCCAAATGAGGAGCTACACAGAAAAAAAGCAGGGCTTGGGGGAGGTTTTGTGGAAGACAAGTCACCTTGGAGTGGGCAGAATGTGAAAGAAGCGACTAGAACAACAGCAGCTCTCATCTCTGGTAGGCTTGAACCAGGTGCCACATCTTGCACTGGCATTTTGATTCAGTGAAGAGCCAGCTGAGCTCAGAAAGGTACTTACAGCACTGAGATGGTGATGGGAACAAACTGTGAGGTCCTGGCTAGCCTAAGGCAATGGGAGATGGGCATGATGGTGATAGGGATTTACAGTGACCATTAACGGTGAGGATCCATTCCTCTTTGGGCATGGAATTCCTACTCTTAATCAAATCCTGAATCCTTTTGTCTGTATTCACCCTGTTGGGTGCCATCCGGCTTGCAGATTTAGGACCCTTTTCCACTCTGTGGTGGGAGGGTGGTTAACCTGGCTGCCTGAGCCTTGCTCACTGCTGTATGGTCATTTCCAAGATCTCATCCTTCAGGCATAAGGCACTGGTGGTATAATAGGGAAATGGAAAAGAAGTTCAGTGAGAGGAGGACCTTGTATTAAGACAGGAGTCCAGGAGAAAATTCTAGAGATCCTATACTAAAAAGCATGGGAGGGTGACCCTTTTACCACTCCTGAGGCTGATACAGTACATTAACTTCTGCCTTCAGAGAGCAGGGTTTTTTTTCCAAAGAAGGGAACTTCACTTGACTCCTCCACTCCTGGGAGGCCCTTCTTCACCTGCTGCTCAGACTTCTGCTGAAGAAGTGACTTCAGCTGCCCCAGGCTGGCATTGTTCCAGGTGTGACACTGCTTTATGATCAGCCATTTGAGGAACTCTAGAGAAGGGGAGAAAATGTGAAGGCAAGAAGAGAGCAGATCCAGACCTCAGTGGCAGTAATATGCACTGGCATCAGTGCCTTTTGCTAAGTGACTGTGAGTTGTGCTTGGGGTTTTCCCTTCTGCCTGATTTGGTGACAATTCACTTGCTGATCACTGATGTAGGGTATTAACCCAATGGAAGAGCATGAAGGGAAGTGCATGGGGGCAACAAAAAGGTGTGTGCACAACCAATGATTTGCTCCTCTTCTTCTGATTTTAGTCAACCAGGAGGAGCTCCAAGCTGACGTAAGAAGGTGCCTGAGTCTATGTGTGCAGTGCTGCTCTAATTGAGCTGCCTGAAAACAAGAACACCCATGCAATCAGCAAACCCACCTGTTACACCACCCTAACACTGCTGTTTAGACCTCACCTATGGCAGGGTAATTTTCCTTTATTAGTTACAGTTTCAAGGGAAATGGTTTCCCATTAAAAGTAGCCCACTTACTGTATTGGGACAAAGGGAAGGCTGGGATGAGTCTCTTGCATTTCTGAAATGCCTATGACAGCTCCTGCAGCAGGAGGGAGAAAGAGAAGGCTGGATGTTTCCAACAGGAAAATCAAACAGTGTTTATTTCAGATGTGCAGGACACGGTTCCAAGCCATCTTTATCCATCTAATGGAGACAAAATCTCTCCTCTCTTCTCCCACAGCTGTCACCTTCAAATTGGACTAGCTGAAGCACCAAATCAATGCAGTTCAGTGGTACTTCTGGATCTTTCTAAGGAGCAAGTAGGGCACCTGAAGTGAGACAGAGGGGCCTGCCATGCTTAGAAGAGATGAGGTGCAGAGAGGCTGGAAACACTGGTAGAAAGATGGATAGCATAACCTCGGATGAGAGTTCATTAGCTACACACAAATAAAATAGAAACTTAAGAGATTTCGTTTGTTGTTCAGTTTTCCATAATTGAACATTTATGAAAATAAACCCCATTAGAGCTAGTGGGAACTTTGTCCTTAAGTGTTTTTTGTTCATAGCCCCAAAACTCTGTGCACCTTTCATGGTACTTTTTAAAGCATTGTAGAATACTGGGAGAAAAAGAAGCCTGGGAAAGTTAATCTTGTACCAATGTTTGTAAACAAAAGATGAGAATGAGATGATATGCAGAGCTGTAAACCAGGTAAAGTGATGTTAGGTCAAGATAAGAGATGGAAAATGCATTAACTTTAAAAATGTGTGTGTCATGTTTACAACATTTGCAAACTCACTTTCTCGAAATCGCTCCTGTCCTGTTTTCTGATCAAACCATGTGTTGGGTTAACAAAGGCACTAGAGCAGCCCAAAGTTAAAGGTTACACCAGCACGAGGCATCTTATCCAGCCACACGGGACTATGCAGTGATGTAAAATAAATTACTAATTATTAAAACAACAGAAAGGCCAATACTATAAATTTAAGTTCACTGATAGATTTCTAGTAATGAGGGGGAAAAGAGACTGTAGAATATGAGATTATTTCTAGTAGGATGTTGTTCTGAAACTAATGTTCATTAGTAACTTGATTAATGATCTGAAAGAAGATATTAAACCAGTGCTGATGAAGCTTTCAGAGGACCCAAAGAACAATGAAAGTGATAAATGACAGAAAAAGATGAGATTTACAGAACAGCTGGTAACTACTGGTGTGGTGTTTGTTTATAAACAATGAGTATTTTTGGCTGCACTGAAAGCAGAAAAGACATTCCTCCAGGGACATAACTGTAGTCTGTGCCCTTGCAAGATGGAGGGCTGTTTTCTGGAAACTCTGGAGGGACTCCAAAAGGAGTTCAAGGATTGGGAGATAACCAAGGAAATGAATGGTACTTGCATAATTTTCATATGTGGGTATGGGTTTCACTTGGATACATTAGCCTGCATTCACCAAGAAGGGAGGTAAAATTTCCCCCCTGTATAGTACCATAGAATGGTTTGGGTTGGAAGGACCTTAAAGATATCTAGTTCCAATCCCCTGCCATGGGCAGGAACACCTTTCACTAGGTTGGGTTGCTCAAAGTCCCATGCAAACTAGCCTTGAACACTTCCAGGCATGGGACATCTGCAGCTTCTCTGAGCAACGTGTGCCAGTGCCTCAGCACCCTCACCGGGAAGAATTTCTTCCTAATATCTAAACCTACTCTATTTTAGTTTGAATCCATTCCCCCTTGTTCTGTCATTCCATGCTCTTGTAAATAGCCTCTCTCCTCCTTTCTGGTAGGCTCCCTTCCGGAACTGGAAGGCCACAATTAGGTCACCCCAAGGCCTTCTCTTCTCCAGTCTGAACAGTTTCAAGTCTCTTCAGTTCTCACAGCCTTTCTCTATGGGAGATGTGCTCCATCCCTCTAATCATCTTGGTATATCACAGCAGTGAACCCATGGTGTGAAGTCTGAGTATCGAACACTAAAAAGGCCACCAAAGAAGGGAGCAGCAAGGATAACTTGAAGCCTGGAAACACTGACTGGCACTACAGGATAACATGAACTCAAGACTCCTGCGTCTGTGTTCATTCTGCTGGAGCATGGGCTGGCATTCCCTATATGGGAATGAGGCTTCCGACAGTAGAGGGCTCTTCAACCTAGCAGAAAACCTGCAGCCACCTCCCGATGGAACTGGGAATGAGGTGCAGACCTTCCCGCCAGAGCACCAAAACATACCTGGGTTTTCCAGCTCTCGCTTCTCCAAACCCCGATAAGGTGTCTCAAAGTGAAGTTGGGGAATGGGGCGACTTAGTTCTCAGCCACTGGAGAAGCCAAACAACTTGATTATTCCTGTCCCTTTGGGCTTCAAAAACCTGTGAGTAAGAGAGGAAAGCAGGCTGGCACAGTGCTAGACTGCAGGGAA